AATATATTGCAAAACTTTAATGAGGAGCAGTGGAAAACACACTTTCACGTGTCATCGTAGAGATAGACCAGGCAATGTAGTGGGGGGGATAGGCAAGGTAATGTCCAAGTAGGCTTCCCCTGGCATTTCCCACCCACACCTTTACACACACACAGTCTACCTGTATGACAATGTCAGGACTTCACTTCATGTCTGAAAGGGGGTATGAGTAGCTAACTGTTTTTTGAACGAGGACCAAAAAAGTCTTTTTAAATAGTTTTACATGCAGACTGTTGTTTAACCAATAACCTAAGCATGTTATTATGATTTTATTTAACATGCGCACATCTAATTTTGACAGCGTCACAACCTCAGAGCAGACAATCCCTCATGCAGCCCCTTTGGACCTTGCAGACCGCTGGGTGGGAACCATGGGTCTAGAAGATGATGTCATGCATGTACTATACCTTATATATGACCATGTATGAAAACACCCTTCCACCTTAGGAAAAACACACACACACACACACACACACACACACAGATATTGCCAGTTTTATTGCAGTATATCGATGCTTGCAGGCATCCATGATGTTACTACTAAAGAATGACTGTAAGATTTGCTCAACAACACAGAGGGCAAGAAAACCCACTGAAGCAAAAAGCAAAAGGGGAGCTAGAACTGTGTATGTTAATGCATGCTTTTGTATCTGGTATTGGTGTAGCAATGACTCAAACTAGAAGAGCTGCTTTGTGTGCACAAGGCCAAACAAGACAGCACAAACAACACAGCAGGCAGGCTTGTGGCTGGTTCTCAAAATAAGAAACACAAAGAAAATACCCAGAGTAAACAACCAAAACTCTCTTGCAGCTGTTATCTAAATAGGTTAACCTGGATAGGTTTACAGTGCCCTGTTAAGCTTCAGCACAACAAGGTTAATGGTCTACAGCCTAGTGGTGCTTTGAGTTACAGTAAATGCAAACATCAGCATGCCAATATGCATACACCTTGACAATGCCTCTAGGCAGATGTTAAACAGCTGTGATAACAATGTTCACTATTTTAGTTTCGCATGTTAGCATGCTAACATTTGGGAATTTGGGGCAAAACAGAACACAAAGTACAGCTGTCATAACTCAGGTAGGATATTGGAATTTTTAAAATGTAATTTATTAATCCTCATGTGGAAATTTCTTACTGATGCCAGCACTGTCAGTTGCTGCCAGGCCACCAGGGGCAACTAGGGTTTCAGTGTCCAAGGACACTTCAACATGTGGACTGGGTGAGGCTAGGAATTGAACCACAAACTTTCCAATTGGGAGACAACTGCTCTACCTCTTGAACCACAGCCGCTCAGGAGGTTTTGGTGTTGATGGTGGTATTGGATGAAAATTTAGGGGATCGCTGTTAAAATTTATTCTGAGAAAAATTAGACCCAGTTTTATGGCAGTCCAAAAGTTGAGATATTTCTGTATGGACCAAAGTGGCGCACAGATTAATTGACCAGCTTTGCCATTCATAGAGCTATGCTGCTAGCATACAGTATCTAATGATTCTTTTAACTTTAATTTGTCACAGCAATGTTTTCAACTTCCCAACAGTTTGATAAAATTATAAGCCTCTATATTTGTGTGTCTATGTGTGTAGGACTGCCGTCAGCAGTTTCGCGTAGTTCTGGTGGAAGCAACTGTGAAGCTGGACGAGCAATTGAAGAAGATTGGACTAGCCGTGGAAGACTCCAAACCGTACTGGGAATCCCGCAAAGTAGCAAGACAGGTACACACACTCAAACACAGAAGAGAGGTGGAGTGACTTTGAGGTCAGCAGACACAGTGTGACGGCAGGCTTACCGAGGATTATCAATGCGAAGTTTAAAGAGCTCAGTTTATATCTTCTTAAAGAGGTTTCAGTCACTTGATGTCTATTTTTAAACTCAGTCATACTGTACCTCTGCATCCTAACACACCAGCTCAATGTGGAGAAGGGGAATTGTCTGAGCTGCATTGGAACTCTTTCACTTGTCATATTTTTTATAATCTGACTTTGCTTCTGTTGCTGCATCTTAGACGTCTTTGTGGCGTTGCGCTTGTTGCACTGTTCCAGGTAAATACAGAGTAGGGTGAGTGCACTAAACTGTGCTGTGCTCTCTCCAGTGGATTATGTTCTGTACTGTCTAGTTGCTCCAGCCTGTTGAAGTTTTGATCTGACTGGATCACACTAGATATTTGGAGTACCAGGGGCATGACGTTGTGGCTGGGCGGTTTTAAATTGTTTAGCCCAGGGAGGGGGCTTAAACGTGGGTACACAGGATCAACCGGTGCACCGGGTGCCTGGAGCTCTGGTTCACCAGGGGAGCTAGTCGGTTCCTTTCCCCCCCACTATGGAGCTCTATTCCCACGGTACTCCCTAGTGATAACAAAGCATAGAGTCCCTGGGGCTTCGGTTCAGACTATTTATATGTAAATATAATGCACAGTCCACGTAGGTTCAGGTCAACAGCTTTTTTTCTTTTGTCAGTTTTCTTTTAGTAAAAATCTGAAAAAGGGTCAATTTGACCTGGACACAACACAAGGGTTAAATTTGATTGTATTTACATCTATTAAAAAAAGTATTATAAAAATGGTATATGGTATGCATCTCTGCATTTAAAACTGGGTAGTTTTGCAGACATCTAAACTTTAGGTTTTTTCAATCTTACATGTCACTTGCTACGTTTGCTTAACACCAGTAACACTGAAAGCAATGTTTGTCAAAGTCCTTTAATCTTGATTTACTTATTTTAATTCACCCACTCCATTGATAGAAGCTTGATAAACAATTTAGCACACGAAATTAGTCACAACTGGCTTTATTTGCACAACATAAATTAAAAATGAACTACAACAATTTCCTTTTTTGAGACATG